GTCTCCAGTTACACTCTCCCAAATTTAAATTTAAATAAACATTTGCAGAACTTGAGAGACATGACCGAGTACCGCGGGCTTCATTTCACTTTTAACAGTCATTATAGACACGGAAGAATTTGTTAGTACACTGACTTCTAATGCATRGATTCCACCCATCCGAAGATGCATTAAAACCACCCACGTTTCAAAAATAGGTCTAAGATGTTATCCAGCTATAGCAGAATTATTTCCACCGAAGAAGGAAAGTTATTAGAATAGGAAAAAAAGAATTTCTTCCTACAGTTATTTTGGGAATAWTCCCTTCAGGGCCTGTCTACAACTAAMCCAGTCTGGTTTTCAGTCATTAGTGTAATTGTTTGGTGCCAAATTTCTTGGGGGAGCGGGAGGGTGGAAAGTTATCTACCCCAAACATTAAAGGATCACAGGAACTACTGGAGCTGCTTTTTTTCTTTTTTTTAAACTACACTAGAATGGATTGGACTATTTTTACATAGCCTCTCCTCTGATAAATGGTCAAGACTTTGCATGTAAATTATTCCAGTATGGGAACATCATAGGAAAACCCTCTAAAYACTGAGATTACTGCCATGAAGTTTAGGCAATGCAGAACTTAATCATGTCACAAATTACAGGATACTCACTGAGCCTTAATTTGGGTCTTTTAAATATACAAACTAATTACAGAGTACCTTTCCCTACATAAGCATACCTCCTTTGAAACAAGAGGTAAGCTCAAGATGGCAGTGGTTAAACCTTCAGAAATTACTTTGTTTTGCCAGGAGGAAAAAATACGTGAACATGCACAATCACAGATCCAATGGAAAAAAGTGGTGAGTGGTGCCAAATTCCCTCCTGAGTCCTCAAACTTGCTGCTCCCAAATGCAGGAGACTGTAATAATAATAATAATAATAATAATAATAATAATAATAATAATAATAATAATAGACAATTTCAGTCAATGAAGACAGTATTACTGCAATGCATGGGAACCCTGACTGCAGACTAGGGCAAATTAAATTATTACATTCCCCATCATCACATAGTGTTTGTTTAAATTTACTGCTTAATATTGCTGGACTGGCAGCCTCTTTAAATTATTCAGCACTTTCGTAATGCACTGCCTCTTTAATTATGCTTTTAAACATAGTTTCTCTTTTCTGCTTGGAAGCAGTTAGTCTAGTTTCATGCTCCTCCTCATCTTCAGGCAAACTAGGCATCACATTAGGATTTTCTCAGACATGGAAATCATTTGTTTTCACTCAAGTCAAATAAAATTAAAAGGCAGTGTTTGTATTCTGGTTTTGCTTCTATTTATTCTCTGTATCTGGAACCTAATTGTAAYACTTTAGATTACGTTTTCAGAGATTCCCTTGCAATGAGTGGAAAGCTGTGTGGGGCAAACATCCAACATGAGAAAAGAATCTATTTCTYGAGGAAAACGCAGATATTCTTGTGMAATTCTCAGTTATTAGAAATAAAGAAAGCGTTTACCTGCAGACAGCCACAGCTGAGCCAACAGGAGGAGTTGAACACACTCCAGCTGGATGAGCTCCCTAAAGGGCAAAGCAACGCAGGGAACAGCACTGAGCACTGCCCCAGAGCTGGAGCTGGTGGATGGACACACACAGTGAGTTAAAAGTAAAGAGCCACATTCYCATCTTTCACTAACTTCGTTATTGCAGCTTTAAGAGAGAGGTTTGGAAAGTTTTCCACTCCACACTGTTCTTGCACACCCCTTCTAAAATTAGCAAGGGGCAGCTGGCTACAGCAGCCAAGAGCCCCCAGACTCCCTCCCCCCTTTCCCTGATTGACGTGGCTCCCAAGAGCCATGGAGGAATTTGGGGAAGGGTGCTTCCACCTGTTGGAYGTGGAATGAGATTTTCCAGGCATACAATTATAAATCCAACTGTCAGGAGCTGACAATAAAACAGGACACAGGACAGCTGTGAGGACTACAGGACACCCCCTCTCCCTTCTCTGTACTCCTACAACTTTGCAGTTCATCTGACAGCAGAAACAATGCATGAAAAATTGTTCTCTTATCAAATAAAGGCATCACTTCGGATTTCTTCCCACAGTTTTCCAACTGTACCACAGGGTCCTAACACACAAYCTGGCAAATTGCTCATGTATCATTACACCCCTCCAAAAGCAGATTATTTTTCCCAAATACAGCATGCTGGCAGTTGCACTGCAGATGGTGCACATAGCTGGGTCCTGCACAGTAAAGACTTTTATGCCTACCTTAATGAGGAGTTCTCACCTTACCTTTTGCACTCAGTTTGAGCTGGACTTTTTAGTTCAAAACAAATGCATTTTTCAAAAATAAGGATATGAAAACCACAACTTTTTTCTTTTTTTTTTTATTTATTTACAGAAGGCATGAAATTGCTGATGTGAAAAAAATGGGGGGAAGAATTAATTCCTTCTACCAAACCTGATAGAATGCTCCAAACTCAGCAGTGTGAGTCAGAGCAGGGTGTGAGAGACAAGGTACCAACAGATCGGCAGTGCTTTGTTCTGGGTCCCTTTCACAACATCCACTGCTGAAGGCAATGAGGTATTTCCATCCTGCAGGTGCCCAGAGGTGACAGCAGGAGCAGAAGAGGGGCCACACTGCCCCTCACACCTGCAAGGGGCTCTCAGCAGCTGCAGCTCTGCTCACAACCCAAAAAGCACTGACCATTTGACCATTTCCAGTCCAATTGGCAGAGTGCTGGAAATCTCATCTGCCACTTGGTGTGTAGCTGGTTCAGCCCCCCTGTAGATCATGAAGGGCACAGAAGAACAAAAATCCCCTTCTCAGTCCCAAAACCAGATCTGGTRTCTTTGCTCTGTAAAACTGTGTTTTTTTCTATCACAAACTAATTTCCTCATCTGGTCACAGTCARGGGCATTTCAACTTCACAAGAGAGATTTCTCTAGAAGGAGCCAAACTATTTTACARTTTGGAAAACATCAAATGGCTCCATTTGCCCCAGGCAACAAAATAATTATAGAAGGATAGTATTCAGCTGCCTGTGAGCAACACAGACAGACATTACTCTTCACCTCTGGCTGAGTAGGAGTTGCTTAATGAGCTCTGCATTAAGTACCTGCGTATGTTTAATGAGAGCCTTTTAAGGACAAAGCCACAAACAGCTACAAAAGGACCTGCTGCTTCAAGAGCAGGACCAGTCTTCTAATCGTCAGCCTTTCCCCGTACTATGGAAGGGGTGACTGCCTAGACCATTGTTYTTCATTTATTTTTTCAGCCTAAGCAGCACAATATATTTGGAAATACACCTTAGTAGGCTTCCCCTAAAGTTCACAACAAAACAAATGGGTTTTCCTTTGACTAGCAGAACATTAAGTCTTCAGCTTCCAGACACTTTCCTTTTTTTCTCTTGAACCAGGAAGAGAAGTTTTAGAAACACAAAATAACCTTTATTAACATAGGGGATTTTTGTATGTGCATGGAATCTCCTGCCTTCATGTCACCACTTTGTCTGACTTTTTGTGGGTGCCAGTTCTGATAATTTTCTTAAGTTACTTTCCAGTAAGACTGTCCCTCCAGTCAGTTCACAGTGCACTAGTTTGCAACACAAAAAGTACAGAACATGCAGCTAGGAGTGGAAMAAGAATGAAGTCATCCCTTTTGTCAGCTGCTGACTCTTGTTCGGGCTAATGAAATAAGTGAACCATATCTTATCATTAATTCCAGCTGGGGAATTAGTACAAGAACACCAAGCAAAAGACAATTCACAGCCATTTCCTGAAACTCTCCCTGTTAGACAAAATCCCCACTATTATGAAATATATGCATCTGCATCCCAGTATCTATCACTCCACTCAAGTTTATTCAAAGTTCTAAATTTTGCAAAAGGCTGTATTTTAGGCGCCTGTATTTGGTCAAAGGTGAAATGAGCAATTTAAACATGAAAAAAAAAAAAAAGTTTGACCACTTAAAATTCAATGGGCAAGTCTTAAAACAGCTTTATAAAACAAACAAGTATGTTTATTTTGAATCATTACTAAAATAGTTTATGCAATACACAAACAAATACGCTATGAGGAYGCATTTGAAAATAAGTCACAGTTGTTTTTTTCATAAAAAAGATTTGTCCAGTGAAATGTTCAAAATGTAAATGCCATCCTTTCCTTCCTGAGCTATTAAACATCCAGAACAACAGCACTTCCATGTCTTCTTACTGTTTTTATTTCTGCCCATCAGAATAGGAAGCATTATCCATTGCTGGCTCTCAAGTTAGAACAAATCTACTTCTGGCTTAAGTGACCACAGCTCTGTGTCTCTCTAACTCTGCTCTTTTATATGCTTCAGGTAGTTTTGGTCCATTCTACTTAACACCCCCAACCTTGCCCTGCATAAAGAAGCCAGAAGCTCCAGCTCTCTAACAGGTTTTYCTAGTTGGAAAGGAGTTTTTTTGCAACAGGACAGCTCAAGGGGCTTGTGAGTGAAAGATGGGCTCAATCTCTCAGCTGTTACAAGAAGCCATCCTATTAATTTGAGAACATCTTCACACATTCCTTCATACTCAATAAAACCAAATGTACAGGGACCAACAGCTCAGAGCATCAAGTAACAGCAATAACATGGAAGTGCTGCTATTCTCTTTAGTTTTTTACACAAAGTACTTAACAATAAAAACAGTAAATGTTTTTAATCTGGTGTGAGGAATTTTTGACATAAAACTAAAAAAACATTTTAAAAGCATGCTTTGCAAATCTGTTCTTTGCTAGAAATTTATACAGCAAGCAGCAGGTTATACATAGATACAAGGAGAAGTTATTTTTTAGGATATCAAGTASCACAAATAAATAAATTCTCTCAATGCAAAAATAATTATCTTAGTAAAATGAGAAATAACGTATGTCTTCCTAAAGTTTTGTTTGGAAAGGAGATAGTACATACACAGGGTTGACATTTTATCATTTCCATCCAAATTTTAAGACTTGCAAAACTTTGAAAAAGAGTAGAGAACTCCTGCAAGCAGCCAAAGAGGTACTGAGGGACTATTTAATTGCTATTAGTACTGCTGACTTTAAGCAAACCTTTGTACCTCAGCTTTTCTCTCTCCAGAACTGTGTGGAACAGGCTCATTTAAGGAAGAAATGCTTGCTGAAAGGTTCTCTACAAGTCACAGATCTTTCAAGCAATTTTGCCACTCCTAGAAGTGGCCAGAGACAGCTGACATGTACATTGTGATCTAATGGATCAGGAAAAGGCTTGTGCTTAGTTTCACATCACACTATCATCATTTTCCATTCATTCATTAAGTTAGAAGAAAAGTAAGCAATTCTGGCAGATGAAGGTGATGTTTTTACATTCTGTCACCTCGTCAAATGTGATACCAGAAAAGGATCCTCACAGCAAAGCCAACAGTGCATCAAGACAGCTTCAGAGGCAGATGAGTGATTCTGCACTCATGCACAGCAACGTCCAGCTCCAGGACACCAAGGCTGAATGCATCGCTGAATACAACTTACCAACAACCAGCAAGTTCCTTGCTTACACTCTGGAGTTTATTTAGAGAAGTCCCAGTTAYTTTGTCAGAAACAACCCTGCCAGTTGGTGGAAAGTCTCTGCACAGAAAGGTCTGGCTTGCTGCTGCCTGAGCTCAGCAGCCACACTAAGTTTCTTCCCTGTTCTGCCTTGCAACACATATTTTGTTCTTCCTCCTCTCCCAAGGGCTCTCCAGCTCTCTTTTACGTGCATCGCTCCAGAGGGAGGCCCTTTTCAGGCCAAACAGGCAACACAAGATGAGATATCCGGCTCCACAGTCCACTCAGTTTATCTGTGTCCATGCCATTGTAAGAACTGGGAACATCTGAAGCGGTGAACTTGGCCCAGAGGAAATCCCGGACTTTCTCCTCCACTTCCTGAAAGGTGAGGCTCTTTCTCAGTGACTGCTCGTCCAGGAGAATTGTCAGCAGAAGGACCGCGTCCTTAAAGGCTGCATTTTCATGGTCACAGTACTTGTAGAAGATGAGGGTGGAGCCTGCAGGCAGTGACTCGAATCGGTGCACCACTGCCACCTTCTTGCCTTGTGTGAACCCAGAGCTGAGCTCCGTGTCCACTTCCAGCTTGACAGTGTCACTGTCCAGYACAGCCTTGTCCACCCCGTTGATCCTGATTGTGGTGGCATTCTGGGAGGAGGCAAAAGCATCRGCAATCTCGTTGCTCAGGCACCTCAGAGCCTTCTCAGCCTCCTGGCCAGCTGTGAACAGCAAGATAGCTGGCTTCAGACTCGGGTGGGAATTGTTAAGGTGCTTCTCAAGGAACACATGGGCTCTTCTCCACAGAGCAGGGTCCTGACTATGGTAGGTATTTTTTAGTTTATTCATCCGGGCACGAAACTCTTGCAGAATTTCAGCATCTCTACTTGAGGTTCCATCTCGAAATCCACTCCACGGGACATAAAGAAATAGGAGCAATAAAGCACTAATTAACAGAAACAGTAACAAAGTCCACATCTTGTGAAATCGATTCTGCGATTCATCATTATCTACACAGAGAGGGAGAAAACAAGAAGAAAACAATATTTTAAAAGGCATCAGAAGTCAACAAGTGAAAAGAAAATGAGAGAAAAGAGTAAAAACATCCCGTTCTCAATACTGATAGAAAAAATGATCTAGTAAAAAAAAAAAGCAAAAAAACCCCACAGAACAAACCAGAACAGTTTTGAACTACTTAAGAAATTTAGTGAAGTCACAGCATTAAAAGAAAGAACATTTTTACATGTTTCCAAACAAAGAYCAAATTGGACATTCTTCTGAAAAAGCAACTCTTAAAGTTCATCAATATTCCATTCAATGTAATAAAATCCAAACGACAAGCTTAGAATGGTTCTGAAAAAGATCAACGTTTTTCCCACATTTATGCTCTGCAGAAAATATCCTATACAAAACCTGGCTGCACTCGAGTGGTTTGTGTCTTATTTCTCTTTCCTATTCCTGCAAGGATAAAAATAGTTCCTGCAGCAGTATTTGCATCTCAAACACTGGTGGTCAACACTATCAGAAAATGCTGTGCCCTTTGGATCAGTGAGCTTCACAAAGAGTACACACAGCAAACAGTGCACATCAAGTATCAGRTATTTTTATTTGGTTTTATATTTGAACAGTTAAATTAATACTTGCTTCATGTGCTACAAGCAAAAGGYTCAGTTCTGTTCCCAGTAAAATGARTGACARAATACACCARTCGTACTGGAAACAGGAAGAACTKCATTCCTTTTGCTACCTTTTTATATCCTAACTTCTATCAGGACAGCAACACAACAACAGTCAARTAACAGCACCACTAGGCCCGCCTCAGTTTTAATCTTGTAAACATTACAGATGAAAGACCTCAAGCTCAGGTGAAAATGTTACTCATACAACACCCTTCCTTCCTCCATGCTGATAACATGTCCTAGCAAGCAAGTCATCTGTTCTGGCAAGGATTCTCAGCTTAGCACCAGCTCCCAGGAACTAACACTCACAAAGGCATGAAAATGGTTAAATGTTACACAAGCATGAAACAGAAACGAAAGCAGAAGTCTTACTTCTGACCAAAGGCTGTGACTGCTTCTCTGTACTGGACTGATACCGAGATTTACTTCTGCCTGTCAAGAGATTAAGAAAARAACATGAGAAAAACACTTAAGTCAACAATTATAACCAAGCAAGGAGTTGAAATCACCAAATTCCATTCTTTTCAATGAAAAGCTGCTCTYAGTTATGTTTTTACATACAAAGCACCTTGCTCAAGCAAACACAGACCCACTAAGTCAGAGCAAAGTGAAGCTGTGACTTCATCCCAGGTAGGCTGTGTCAAGTACTTGGTTCTTTTCTGCACCATTTGTCTCCTGGTGCTCAACAGTTTAATCCTGAACAAGGAAAATGACACCTTCACCACTATTAGCAGCCTCAGAAGTTCCACTCAACTGGCAGAGTAACTCTCCATCTCTGCTCTCTGCCAAATGCCAGTTCCCAAGCCAYCCTGACAATCTAGCTTAGAAAGCACAAGTCCCCAGTCTACTGCAAATCACCCCCGAAGATTTATAACTCTTGAAAAATTATGCAAATAAAACTCAATTTATATTTGGTACAAGGTGACAAAATGGAAGAGAWGTAACAACCTGTTATTTTCTGCACAAGGATCCCATGTCCCAATTAAGTTTCCTGATTTTACTCARGACTTTGACAGGCATAAGAATAGAAACTTAATTAACAGACATACTAGAAAAACAACATAATGCAAGATATAAAGAGCAAAAACAAAGCAATATGTTRAATGCATAGTCTTATTTCCCCTCTCCATGTAGCTTGGGTTGGAGGCCTGCTTCAGCAGCAGTCAGKTTTTTGGGATGAATTACACTTTTAAAGCAAAATGCAAGCTTTCAACTTCAAAATATACCTTTGGTCTATTAATTTAAATGGGCTCAGACAGTAAAGTCCAAGAGGCATTATCCATGAAGTGTTATGAACAACTTTCCCAAGAGACCAGTATGAACATATACAGTGSATTTTTTGGTCAGCATGTTTTCTGCATTTAGCCACTTAATTAAAAAGACAGGAGAATTTCTGGCTCCCTGTGAACTGCAGCAACTGGTTCAAAGCTGAAGGCTCTTTAATAATGCATACCCAAATCAGGACACTGYCAATGGCACTATTGAGAATAAATTGAACCAACATAGCCTGCAGTAGTTATTTAAAGACACTGGAATAAACTCTATAACCTTGTTTCTGTATGAACGTAATCACAGAAGGTGCTAAATGCAGCTCTGGTTTAAGCTGRGGCTTAAGTGGCTTAATGAAGTGCACTATTCTGTAATTTCAAACCCCCAGCCCCAAAAGGGCACAGGCATGGCGCTTGTCACTGCCTAAGCTTATCTCAATCTTCTAGGAGTTAACAGCTCAAAATCACCTCAATTCTGTAATACTTCACAATGCAGCTCTGTTTGCACAGATTAGGTTTCATATTTAGGTGACAGCTGTAACTCATACAATAAAGGACAAAATAATTCAATATATAGTCTAAAACCAGATTTATCCTGTCTAAGAATCTTGCCTTATTTACAACAAAATTTGCCCAAGTAGATTACTTATCCTGCTTAACTCAAAAAGTGTAACTTCTGCAGACACTTTAGAGATTTCAGAGTTTTAAGTGATCTTCCAAAGTTCTTTACACAACACACAACTAATCACTCCTGCAGCACCTGGTGTGGCACAGAAAAGTGAAAGTACCTGACTAGAGAGAACTCCCTGCATCAAATAATTTTTCAAAGGCATTTCACAGATGTGCAGCTATCACAAGATAAGCTTCTCTTCATGAAGGCACCATGGTTTTCAAAAAAACCCCGAAAAGAAACAAAAACCTGAACAACCCCTGCAAGTTCTTCAGACTGAAATCTGATTTACAAAACTTTATCTATACCTATACTTGTTGAAGATAGAAACAAGCAGCAAGAGATTACTAAGAATTCAGAGCATTTTTCTTCTTCTTCTTAAATTCTCTTCCAACAGAAAAAAAACAAAAAACCTCAACAAACCCACAAAAACAACCAAAAGTCTGAAAAACTGGGAGTTGGTCATTAGATGGACAGACTGGATTTTGCCAGCAAAGAAAAATGCTGCTCCTTTCCAGGAGTGCAGAACAACTAATTCAATCATTGCAAGCCACCACATCTCAGGGAAAGGATAAAAGGATGGTTTGTGTACAAACTGACATTCACTGTCACCAAAAGCTGAAGGTTTTGTCCCTTCCTCAGCTCACCCCCACAACGCCTCAAGTCCAAGCTCTGCACTTACTGTCCCATGAGTCAACTACACTTCCTAASCCAGCCAAAAAGAAAAATAAAAGAGAAAATGGAGAATTTTCTGTGGTCAGCAAGTTGAATAACCTCACAGAAGGGTTCTGACTGAGTGTGCTGCCCTCTCCAGCTTCTGTCTGAATCTGCCTCCTGAGTGCCTGTCCATCCTCACAGACACTGTCCCAGGGCACAAGAAAAACCAGAAACAGGGGAAAGGAAAAGAATTCTGTACTTTTCATTTAATGACAGGGAAAGACTAGGTTCTCTTGTTTTACTTACTCAGTGGTGTAGAAGTTGAGTAGTACCCTTGTTTTTTCTCAAGGAAGTCAGCCTTTGTTTCTGAAACCAAAGCACAAATGGAAGAACTCAGTTACCACATCAGAGCTCAGAATAAGACAGACCAGCCACACATGATTTGAGCTCTTTCTATGAAATCCTCCAAGCTTATTAGGGCAGGAGGATATGCTCTGCTCTGCCAAACCCAGCCTGCACCATATGAACCACTTGGACCCCTCTGAGCTCAAGRAAGTTATTATTATCTATTAGAAAGKGCATAATTTGGCCCTTAACCCTATTTTTGCCRATATGAAAAATCATTCTTCTTATGTCTTCTTTTAAGAAGACACATAATTACCTTCTGTGGCTAAAAGTTAYGCCATTTTTTTCTCACTGTATCTCCCCATTGCTTCTGTAGCACATATCTAGAAAAATCTCTGAGCAATGAGCAAAGTGCTCAGTCAGCTTCCCCCTGCTAAAGACAAAGATAACTCACCTTTTTAGGAAAAGAACAGTTTTGGTTTTCTTTGCCTGAGGCAATTAAAGATCCACTCTCATAACAATTTTTTTGAATCAGGTATGATATTACTCATCTTTTTGTTTTGCTTTTCAAAAACCAGACAGCTGGGCACTTATCAAAGTTGAAATCTGCATTTTCTTGAACTTTACAAGGCTGTACACCCAAGCAGATTATCATCATACTACAATCACTTTGACTAAGGCAGGAGTATACACAAAAAAATTATTTTTAAAAAAAAACACCTTTATCATCCATTCAGATTTCAGCTCAAAAACTCCCCCTTTTCTAACAGAACTGAAGATTGTAATTTTAGCACATTTACACAATCATTTGTTACACCGTGGAAAAGGTACTGATAAAATGTGTTACCTTTTAATGATGTATTAATGTTTGGTTTCTCAATTGCGTTACTGCCATGAGCCTTTGCATTTTCCTTTACTGGATTCTCTTCAGAGTAAGTTGTACCACCTGTCAAGAGCAAAAAAAAAAAAAAAGAAGAAAAAGAGGATAGGCAACATCATAAAGCTGAAGGACCAAAATTTCAGAAAATCCATTATCTAAATCAGCGATTTTTCAAGTTGTGGACTCCCAAAAGTTACTTTCTCAAAATGCAGCAAAAAGCAACTAAGACTTGAAATGCTTATGGTAAATTTGAGTTCACCACCACAGATTTAAAAAAAATTAGGAGTCCTTGGCTTAAAAATGTGAATGCTAGGAGCCAAGAAATTCCTTACACACCATACAGGGTTTTTCCCACAGCTTTGGGCACTCAAYTTACAAACAATAATTGTGCTGTTTTATGCAGCATTAGGCAGAGGGGAAAAGAAGTAAATATAGAAAATAAGTTCCCTTTCAGTGTAGTACAAGCCATCCTTTAAAGTTAGGTCTTGTTCTCTCCTAAACCATAACAGCAACCTAATTTCACCCTTCAGGTAGCTGGGAAGAATCTGAACCAACGTTTTTCAGCTGTTTGCCAAATTACAGAGCCATTCAACTATCAAACCCAACTTAGTTAATGTAACTAACTAGAAAGAATAAAGCCCTGTAAGATACCAGGAGTCACAGAGCAAAGGTCAGGGCTGGGAAGCCAAATGCAGGAAAGGATAAAGTGCAATCATATGGTTTCCCCAGAACTAAGGGATTAAAAAAAAAAGCTCAGGTGTAGAATAAAAGCTGAAGTACAGCTGGGGGACAGAGAGCATGGCACAGCTATCAAGCATCAGCAGAGCAAACAGCAAAGGGAAGAACACAATTGGTAATTTTTTCTCTAATATTCACACTAAGCCCTTTTACTCTTTAAACAGCCCAGGGTTTGCCTAAGATTTAATGTCTTTCTGTAGCTCTTTTACCATATGCCAAGGGCAATGCACAGCTTGCCACCTAGCATTTGGTAATTTTACATGGACACAGAAAACAGCCTCTTTCTAATGTATTCTGCCAGTTTKGGCACACAGGTGAATGTCAAACATGCACAGGAGAAAAACAAAGCCACTGAACCCACCCAAAACACAAAAATGGGAAAAAGCTGTAAGTATKAAACTATGGTAAATCACAGGTGCAACAGTAAAGGATTTGCTCATGCTGAGTGAGCCACTATGTTCTAAATMCATTTTAAAAAGTGTTAAGAAATCACTGTTAAATGACTGATTTCCCACAAAGATACTTGTCAAATAACTTGATTTTCAGGAATTCCAAACCACATTTCCATTATATTTCACTATGTACCGAGGTTTTACAAAGAAAATCTCACTACTCATTATGACCAGAACACAAGAAAGATCAATGAAACCAAAGAGAGCTACTCAGGCAGTCCCCACCCTTAAATCCTCTCCCCTTCTTGCTATCAATCAATCCTCTTTGAGTCTCAAAGAATTCTTCAAAGTTGTAGAAAGGAAAGGTCTGTATCAGACAACTTCCATAGAGATTGCTAGCATGTATCTTCAGCTCAGTTTCTAGAAGCTGCCTGATTCAAGGCAGGGGCTTTTAGGATCTTAAAGCTCATCAAGCTCTTCTTAAAGCTCTTAAAGCTATTCAGCTCTAGGACCAAGTTGCCTAACCAGTATTTAAAACCCCTAAGTAGAGGCCAGAAACCAGTTTTTCAAGCTGTGGTTTTGCTTCCATTCTGTTCCCAGGGATGCAAGGCAATTATGCTCCCATAACAACCCACCCTGCCTCACAGACCATCTCCTAAATTATCCAGGAAAAGCACAGCACTACACATCTATAAATGGGGAGAAAGTAATCCCCTGCTTCTACATAAACAATTGGGGTCTCTTATCATACTTTTCCACCTGTTGTGACTATAATCCAATACAGCTGTTAAGAGCTGGGAATGGGGGAGAGAAGTCTCATTTTTAGAGCCATCTAATTAAAAACCCAACCTTCAGCTGTACCTCCTGAAGCAGCCCAGCCACGTTAAAACGCTAAGCCTATTATGCCCTGTTAGCCACCATGTGGGAGCAAGAGCTTGCCACTGCTTTTTTTCAGAAAAAACTCTGCACTTTCCTAAAGAAACACTCTTAACCTTGCTCCTCCTTCCTCAAGATAGGATTTTTCCATGCCTCCTGGAAATTCTGCTTCTGGAGCAGAACAGAGGYAGACAGAAAGCAGATGGGAATGGAGAACAGTCCCAGGCTAGCCCAACTCATCCCTGAGCATTGCAACRAACTCATAATGTACACACCCCAAAACAGAGCAAAGAGGAAGGAAGTACAATTTATTCACAGTTTCGTGATGGAATGACAGGCTAAAGCCACGTGACTGTATCACCCTGAGTTAGGATCTTTCTRTAGTTTTGAGAAATACACAAGTTCCATCAACTAAAGCAACAAGAAGGTGCCATGCAGTTTAACAGAGCAGCTTATCCACTGTCCAGGAGCAAGACCCAGAGCATCCTTACAAGAAGGACAGCCAAGCCCCAGTTAGGCACTTCCTCATAGGCAATGCTGCTCTCTGTAAGGAGCACAGCCACTGAGGAAACTATTTCTGCAGTTCAGGATACCTCATTTAAATCCTGCCTTTCAAAACCAAGTAGTGTTAGTAAAATTGAATACTGTGCTAAAATACTGTTCCAAGTGATGCAGTAGGAAAACCAGTCACCTAAGGGCTTTGGTGTACTTACATGCCCCAATCCTTTAGATGGCTGCTATGGGATAAGAGCTGCTATGGGATAGGAGCTGCAGTGGGATTTCCTCACCTGGGTGCCAGAGCCGCGCTAAAACCTACCAAGAACCCAATGAACCCCATTTCCTCAASTTTGGGGCGTTTCAGCCCCTTTGCCAGCGGCGCAGACTGTAACCTCTGGGAGTCGAGGCCTACCTGGCGATCTATACGCTTTTATAGGGGGTCGCGTCAGGGAGTCTGGGGTCCCAAAGTGATGCTCGTTCCCTGAAACGAGAAACGGGTGAGGGGCAGCTCAGGGCAACTCAGCTCAAGCCCACCGGGCCCCGGTCTGACAGTTTTCCAGGAGCCCAGCCTCAGCGGGACCCCGCGCTGTTTGCACCCCGCGGGGGAGAAGGACAGGCCTCCCTCCCGCCCGCCCGCCCCACTTCGCGCCGCCCCACCGCTCCCTCAACCACAGAATCCACCGCCGGCCGCTGCGCCCGCCCGCGCCGCTCACCCTGCAGCGAGCCGTGCTGGGCCGCGGCGTCCACCTCGTCCCGGGGCTCGTCAGGCCGCGCCGCCGCCGCCAGCCGGGGGCTCTTCCGCCGCCGCTTCAGCGAGGAGCCGTCCGGCGGAGCCAGCCCGGGGCCGTCCGGCGGAGCCGCCTCGTCGTCGCCATCACCCACCATCCCGCTCGTTGCCGCGCCGCGCCGCCTCCCCCGACCCCGTCCCCTGCCCCGTCCTCTGCCCCGTCCGYCCGCCGGCGCCTGCCCGGGCCCGCTGCTGCCGCCTTCCCGCGGCGGCGGGGGCGGCTCCGCGGGCCTCACTTCCCGCGGGGCGGGACCCGCGGCCGCCGCTTCCGCCCGCGCGCGGAGCGGCCGCCGGGGCGTCACGTGGTACCGGAGCCGTTCCGCCATGGCCCCGGGACCGCCGGGACCGCCCGCGGAGTGCGGGATCGGGATCGGGATCGGGATCGGGATCGGGATCGGGATCGGGATCGGGATCGGGCCCGGCGGGAGGAGCCCGGCCAACGCCCGTCCCGCCGCCCCGGGCTGCTGCCCCCCAGTGAGAGAAATGCGGGACGGCCGCGGCCCCCCAGGGCGGAGGGGCCCCGCGGGGGCGGCCCACGAGGGCAGCGCGGGCCCGGCGCCTCCGCTCCACACGCGCTYGTTCTCTATGTGCGAACCGACCGTRGCGGAACAGGGCCAGCTTTGCCTTTCTCAGAGGCAAAAAATCCTCTAGAGTGAGCACAAACATCAGCTAAAGAGCAGAGAGAGGAAGCTAGGAGGTGCTTTGAGGAAGGTGAGATCCTCTGGCGCTGGTAACGTTGCACTACTCTGTTCCTTAGTGTGGGAATCGTTGTGGTTAATCAGATGCAGAAAAACTCACTCTTTTCTTCCCCTTCTGTAAACAAGGATTTAAAAATGCATTTGATTACATAAAGCATTTTTACTCAGGGATGTAGTAAGAGCTCCTGTCAGTGGAGGTTCTCAAGATGCAGTTTTACAGGGGACTACACAATCTGCTCTAAACTGCCTCTCCCATGGAAGTTTGGAGCAGATGATCTTTTGAGCTTCCTTCCAACATGAGCTGTGCTGTTTTTCTGTGATTTTGCTAAGCGAAAAAACAGCACCTTCTTATTTCACAGACACCTGGACTGCTCACTGAGTCAGTTCAGAAAATGTGTGCTGCCCAAAACTGGGGAAACCAGACACTCAGGGATGCTCCTGGGAGCCAGGGCAGCAAGCGGCTCAAGACCACCTTAAAAATGAGTTGCTAAGCAAATAGAGGGGTTGTAGACAAAGGAGGTGTGTGCATGTTCTGGGCAATCCAACAGGAAGCTTGAGAGATGGGAGTTCACTCCTGTGCCTGTCTTCTCTGTACAAAGATTTCAAAACCAAAAGCATCTTACTGCTTTACTATCATACTGTAAATGTTGCAGTCTCACCCAAAAGCAAGTGAATATTTGTGAGATGAGTTTTGCATACCTCCTACTGTACCAACACACTAAATTTTGTCGTTTTTTTCAGTCCTAAAAGCACAACACACACATTGAGCATTGTTTTCTAAAGCAAAAATAAAAGGATGGAACAGATACAACACCAGGAGGTGTCAAAAATACAGCTGAGCTATCCGTGTGGTTCAAAATCAAGTAGCAAATTACCTCCWGAGACTGGCTCGTGATTTCTGACCAGAGTAACACCAGCAACAAGTAGTATAATTTTATTCACAGGTTCCTAAAGAATGTTACCAAAGTATTACCTTGTGTGAATATTACTGTAGCATATCTTTTATAATTCATCTACTCACTGCTGACTCTTCTGCAGATTAAGAGAAAATRTTATTCCTATTAAAAGAACACCTTCCCACAAACTTGAATTAAAAAATAGGACCAGATTTGCTAAGTTACAGTTCTGTATCTCAGCTTCCATCCTGTGATTTTATGGATGCTACAGGAAAAAACAATCAACATAATATAATATCAAGACCCTTTTTTGAACAGTTTTGTGATGACTTCATGCCCTAGGCCAACCAGTTAATTTTCCTGCCAGATGACGTTTTGGGAACCAKGTTCTCAACCCGGAGAGGCTGAAATGACCCCCATGATTTTGTCCCACGCTTGCCACCAGTTTTGTTATTCTGTGGAAAGGTCAGCCCCTGCTGTGTTGAAGAGACTGGATGGTTTTAGGGATGCTGGTGAAAAGGCAGCAAGCTGAGCTCCAGGGAGATTGCTGTCTGTGTTCTGCTGCTCCTTTTGTGCTGGCTCTACCCTGGCATGCTCCATGCTTCTGCTTTCTGTGAAATGTGTCCTGGCTGAGGGGAATAGGGACAGGGTTTAATCATACCCATGCCTATACATGCCACTAAACAGGCACCACAAGTTAGAACAGAATTTTTTTGGAAAAGCATTGCCCAAATGATGCCAGGAGCTGACACACACACTCTCGACCCTTTCCCCCGGTTGCAGTCTCTGGACTACTTCGGGGACCCTGGGTGGGCCAGATCATCCATTTCACATCCTCCTCATCCTGCCTGCACTGCCTCTGTGACATTTCCAGTCACAGGCTTTGCCACCTCCGTGTTTAGGTTGCTTTTCTTGCAGTACTTTTCCTAAACCAACTCTCGAACCAGTTCCCTYCCACTATCGTTTCCTTGTTTCAACCCGCAACACTGTTGCTTAATGCAGGAAGCCGCCAGTCATCCAAGGGGCTGGAAGGAAAGCGCACAACCACAGAGTCGCAAAAATAAAGAAAAAAAAAAGAGAGAGGAAGTTACTGTTTCCTGAGCGCTCCCGAGAACGACTGTGGGAAGGAAAACTACAGCTCCCAGCAGGCTGCCGGGAGCCAGGGAAGGGCAGAGTTCGCCGTCACGTTTGCAGGGAGGATTCAGGGTGTGCGCTGGTGTCCTGCCACCAAAGGGCCTCTGGGAAGGAGGGCAAGGGGAAAGGCCAGCGCTGGCCTCCTCTTGCCACCCCTCGGCTTCTGTTCGCCGCCCTGAGCGGCTCCGACCCTGCCCGGGTAAGCGTCYGACTCCACTTTGTTCTGCTGACTTCCTTCTCCTGCCGGAGCGTCACTGTCGGGAAAGGGAGGGGAGGGACGAGAGCCGGGCGGCAGAGCAGCGAATGCACCCGCACACCCCAAATCGTGTGTTAGAGACAGGGCAGGGGGGTTCGGTACCGCCCTGTGCCTGCGGAGCTGCCGAGGAGGCTGCGCCGGAGATTTCTCTAAAGAAACCCGCGCGGACCGCTCTCCAGCGGGGAAAGTTTCTGGGAGTTTTCCAAGCTGTGCTTGGGAAAGCCATCAGATTTCCCGGCTTACACCAGTCCCGCTCCGTCTGAGCCTTGTCCCAAAATGTTTTAGCCGGGGGGGAATAATCTCTGGAGGGGCGTAGGAGTCCGGGTCCGCAACCCCCGGGCAGGGCTTTGCTGAGCCCGCGGCATCGGCACGCTGGAGGCTGAGAGGTCACTGCTCTCTGTCGACCTGGCTGTGAGCAACCAGGTGCCCAAAAACACCCATGGCACCTGCCGAGCCCCGGACTCCAGGCCTGCCATCTCAGAGCACAGCCGAGTCCGTCGGGATGAGAAAGCAGTGCCTCACCCCGCTGGCATGTCCCGAGATAAATGCATAAACTCCTGGATTGACTGGAGGAAAAATAGCTGACAGCCCATGGGCTGAAGGTTCATGTTATGGGCGATATCCGCCCATTTTCACCTTGGGAATGCTGAAGGAGGAGCTTCCTCCCCCGTGAATCACGGCTCCTGTGTTTCTGCTTATCAGGTTTATGGGCGTTTAGTTGGAATTCCCCGGCCCGGGACGGGATGRTGCCTGTGAGGGTTGTGGGATTTGGTCAGCTCCTCGAACAGCAGGGAGATACAGCTCCGTGTGAACGAAGGAGAAAGTGAAACCAAATASTGCAGAAGCCAGAGCTCCCGGGGAAAAAGAAAATGGAAGAGAATCCAAGCGTGGATCTRCCTGGAGGTAAGTGAATCCTATGCYTACTCCATCTGCTAGGAAAATCCCTTTGCTACAAGTTTTCAACAGTGACATGGGAAATCTGTGCAAAAGAAAAATAAACCAGTTAAAAGAATCCCCTCTTTTCCAGGCTAAGGAGGGCAAATTGCCATCATTTTTTAAAGGGTGAAAGRCAAATTACTTACACTTTTAGATTCCCCTATGCAACAGGTTTAGACTCTGTGTCCAGAATGGCAGCACAAGGAATGCTGAAGAGGGAKATTCAAACTGGAAGAGATTTCTTCCCTGCATCCTCGTCCTTCCCATCCACAAATGCTTAAATAAAGCCAGTTTTCCAGCACCTGTGGTTGGGAAACCTCWGGAAGAGGCAGGGCAAGGAGTAGTTTATGCCCAGCTTGAACAGCAGGATATCTCCAAGTTCCTCATGCTTCAGTTTCTACMGCATACTTACATTCTGTAGGAGCCTTGTTATGATTGGTACCTGTGAGTATGTCAGTGATATGGTGATGCCATCACCAGCTCRGGTCTGTCCTAGATAGTCAGAAGTTTTCCTGTAATAATCAGCAACAAAGAATGTAAAAATCATGTTCTGACAAGTCACAAGTACAACTTTTTCTCTCTTTTCAAGTTTGAAGGGAGTTCCATACCCTTTTTTACAGTGTTTATTCTAATTATTTTTGTCACTGTAGTGCTTGATCATTCATAAACAGTATTTCACAAATGGTGCCTGAAATTTGAGCTGCACTTTGGTTCTGTGAGATTTGGAATATGTCACAGATGCTGTTCAGTCTCAGACTCTCTCTATTGAATTATGCTCCAGTGTTTGTTTTTAATTATATGTTACCATAGTTCTTTGGGAGAGCAGCTCCAGGAGAGAAACAGAGACAGACCACAAGCAGAATTGTCATTTACAATYAGACAGATGCTTGAAGTGCATTGGCATAACTGTACTCAACAACAGAATTCTTCAAAGCCATCTATCTGTGAAATCTGTGGAAGATGTGATAACATACCCTAGCACTTAATGAAGAAGYTGCCTGCCCATCCCACCTAGGACATAAACTGGGATTGAGTTTACTTCAGCATGGGGTTGTGATTCGGATTCTTTAGAGAGGAAAATATTGATAACAGAGCTGTGTTTTGGCTGTTGCTGAACAGTGCTGGCACAGCATCAAGCCTTTCTCCCCCTGCCAAGCAAATACCCTGGGGTGRGCAGAAGATTGGGCAGAGACCCAAGGTGGGAAAAGGGCTGTTGAATACAGTACAGTGTTATGCTCTGCAACAAAAGACTGGGGCACAGGAAGAAAGGGAGAAGGGTTGGCTTCCAAGGTGGCCATTCTGGCATCAGTCTGCTTATAGGAGGTGGTGGGTGACTGCCTTTGCATCGGTCCTGATTCCCCCCTCCCCTTCACCCACTCAGCTGTCGGGATCACAGCCCATGAGTTTTCTCACTCCATTCSCTCCCCTGGGGCAGATGTTTCTGCAGGGCAAGAACCGGGAATTGTAAGGGCAGTGGTAAAGCACTGGGCATTCTTAACTCCTGTGTGGCTCACTGTGCTTGTGAACTCTGATCCAACAGCTGGACCAGCCCAGGGTGAGGTGGGAAGCACAGCAGAGCATCCTATGCACCAAGAGCATGGCCAAGAAGCACCTGAGCACCAAGAGCACTGCCAGGAAGCACCTGAGCACCAAGAACACACTCAGGAAACACCTGAGCACCAAGAGTACACCCAGGAAACACCTGAACACCAAGAGCATGGCCAGGAAACACCTGAGCACCAAGAG